AGAAGAAAGCGCCAACAAGGCAAGATTGCCAGCTCCAAATAACTAAAAAATCATCATGATTAGTTCAAATATCATAATAACACTGACAACAATGACACGTGTTCCCACTTAAAAGTTTCAGAGACGCAATTCGAGTTGCCTAACTCCAAGCTGGAAAAACAAAATCCTCTTCTGTGGATGCACTTGACAGGTCAACCCAAATTACGCACAAACGTGTGTACTACGATGCAAATGATCATCCCAATGCTAACACAGCTGCATGAATCAATAGCGTACAGAAGTTCCCATGCTACTATTACTGAGTCAACATTACTATAAAAATAGCCAATGCAGTGACAAATCTGTTTAAAACTACTCCAAACAATTAATGCCAGTACAAGATATATTGAATTGTAGCCAAATGTCAAGCTTAATGAGGATGACGGAGGATGAAACACTTGCTGCAGGATAGTTTCGAGTTTGCTACTGGATGATTTAATTAGCCAAGGAATCCGGACTATACATGCGTGGAAGCAGCTCCATTACAGAACCGACTTTGTAAAACCAGTTATTGCAAGTTTCTTTGGCATCCACGCACACCCCAGTCGCATCAAAATTTTCTGCAAATAATACCACAAAGTTTCACAAAAGAAGGACACAAGTTTCCATAGATATCAAAAAGATTTGGAAAGAAGCGAAATGGACCTGCCAAGGAGCAAAGTTTGCTCCCATCTACTGTAAATTCAGCCTTTTGCTTTATGCGCTCCCATACCATATCTCCAAGCATGTCCATCACATCTGTTGCAAGAACAAATAATGTAGGATAAAATTGTCTTACTGATGTATCCATCAGAAGCCTAGCAACCTGCATAAGAATGGAGATGCAACCTTATAAGCTGTAAGTTTTTCCATGAAGAACCTTTGCTTGCAAAGCTATTTGTTTGCTCAGGAGTCCTATAATCCAAGAAAAAGAAAAAACAAGTCCAAGGATCATATTTGCTGAAACTTCAAACTAAAGACAAAATCCATGTTTCTTACAAAAATTACACAATCCATCGAATAATGATCATGGTAGCATATAGTTATTTCTTAAAGTACAAAATACAGAAGTATGGATATAGAAAAGAAATACATAAAACAAGGACGAGAATCTAAATTGAGACCATCTACCTTTATTGTGAGCTTCAAAGCAGTCACCCGGTCCTCCGAATGCCAAGCTTGGACAATCTTTTCCTTAAAATCGTTTAATCGGAAGACATACTCCTGGCGAGTGATTGATGTGTCTTTAGCAAATTTTTGTGGATCATCCAGTTCTTCCAGACGTGAACTTGTGGAAGATATCTCATCAACTATAATTTGTCGGCAAAAGTTAGAAAACTGAAATTATCTTTGTTTATTTATAAGAAACAAAAAATAACCATAAGTTGTTATGACAATGTCAATTTATTCAAGAAAGGAAAAGGAAGAAAAGGGATTATAAAAATGGTTAACATACCCTTGTTACTTTTCATTATTCCATCTGATATCTGCAACAAAGGGCTCGATTACAACGAAGTGGCAACAGACAGCAAGAAAAGTGGCTTCTTGTAATGAAGAATGCCGTTTGAAAGATGAGATGGCAAGATTTACAAGAGCCGCTTCCAATGGGAGCTTTTTTTTAATTATTACAAGGGTTTTCAAAGATACACATGTCATACAATTGAATCAACAGCTTCAACTTGCATGCAATAATCAGAAAGAAACTGATCATGATGTTTTCAGCAAATGTCAATATTAGACCATTGTTCCTTAACAACGCAAAAGAAAAACACCAGGACATAGAGACCCAATTTTCAGACTATCAAAATCTGTCAATGGTCCATTGAATATCAAGTATATAGTTTCACCATATAGATATGAATGACATACTTAGAAGGAAACCGAAAACTTCCTAAATTTCTGAATTGTGCTCGCCGTATAGTTATGATAATATGAACGACATACATAGAACCTTCTTAGAAGGAAACCAAACACTTCCTAAGTTTCTGAATAGTGCTAGTAAATTGTAATGTAATGCAATGCCTCACAAATTCAAACTAGAAGTATTTAGCAACCATAGAAAAAACTTCTAAAGCACATTTTCTTAAACCAAGGTCAGTGAACCCAACATCACCGAGCACTAACAGAGGTAATATAAAGCTCTAGACAAGTTTGAAGTCTAACCTAACAATATTCAACAGGAGATTCATTATTTCTTAGATATCTTAGAGATCCAAAAACAGTCGGGTGAATATATGCACAGGAGGTCAGAATCCAAACTGCTCTTGTTGAAAATTGCCCAAACACGAAATTACATAGTTAATATCGTTAATTTCGCTAGTCGTCGCATGATTTCGATCTTTTTCCAACAGTCCGCGGTTAAGCAATTAATGATGACCCAGAAAGACATACTTACTGATGATATAGATATCATTTTGGAGATAGGAAACCTCTGCATCAACAATCTCTTGAATGAATTCCAGTCCCTTGTATGCTGATTATCACTTTCAGTACAGAAACCTCCAGAAGTACACTCCTTATCCGGTGAATTTCGAAAAGCGTCTTCAACTTTAGCGTTCGGCCCTCTCAGAGGATCGAAAAAGTCCTCGATGTGATGTTCCCCGACAACCTAGGCACAATGCAGATCTCTCATATAGCAGAATAACCCAAACCTAAACTCAATTTCCGACAACTAAAACTCGAGGAAGTATCAGTGATAGTCCAGTCGAGAGCACAATCAACTGAATTCCATCAGCAATCGACGTCGTCTGAAGAGCCCTAAGATGTGATCGGAAGAGGTTGGTGATGATTCAGTCGAGAGTTCCACAGACCTGAGGATGCGACGTCGCCGGGGCGCACAGGGGATGATCGCCGGCGGGCGTGCGATGGAGCGCGCGCGATTCCTTCTCTTGCCTGTAGTTTCGAGGTCGGAACTCCATTGGAGCGAGCTGCTGTTGCAGCGAGCTTCCTCGATCTCCTTCCCGCTCTCGTGTTCGCTGCGCTCGTCTCTTTTGCGAGGGAGTCGAGACTCGGGTCTGAGTTTGCGAAGGCCCGGCTTCTTTTACAGTTGAGTTTGACTTCACCCACGGTTTGACCATGGTGAAGAGAAAGTGCGAATTTCTATTTACCGGAAAAAGGGAATTTTCCATGGATTTATTTCGAAACATTGCCAATAAAGTTTCCTTCTTCTCACAGTTTTACTTGAATTTTATATTTTAATTTTGAATAATGCTAGCATGTTTGAAATTCTCAGTTTGTATGTTTATTAAGAATTGAGCATGGTTCACTTATTTAAGGCCATTCAATTGCGATGTATCTAATAACAAATTTTTATTGTATGGATTGGGGCAATATATTTTATATACTCGATTTGCACTGATTGGAATATTTTATGATTTGAATCATATTATAAACTCGTAAAGTCAGAATTGAGATAAATCATTAATTGGTGGGCTACCTAAAATAATTAAATTATCTTACATAATGATACTATTACATCACCAACCTGCGGTAATTTAATCTACACATTATTTCTATCAAAATGATTATTTATTTGTGGAAATATAATTATGGACAGAGAAAAGGAGGAGAAAGCAGAGACATCGGCCTTGCGGGGATCCACCTTTATCAAGATCTAATGATTGCTGAGTACCTTCAACTTGTAATAAATACAAAGGACGGTATCAACCGACGGGCTTAAGAAAAATATTTGAGCATGTCCGAATCGACATCTATTATTATATATTCACTTAAAAAGCATGTCGATCTTCGGCCCAATTCCTTAAAAAACCCCAATTTTAACTTTTGTCCCAATTATATTCCAAACTTTTTTTTATCTCATAAAAAACCCCAAACTTTTACTTTTGTCCCAAATCTACCCAGTTAACTTTTCGTCCAATTTTTTAATATTATTTTTTCTTTTCTTTTCTTTTTCCTTTCCTTTTCTTCTTTTTTTTGTTTCGCCTTCTGGGCGGTCGCCGATCCGGCGACCGGCCAGAGGCGGGGGTCAGCGAGGCTCGGCCCCGTCGGCCGCTGGCGAGGCTCGGCCTCGCCGTTGCTGGGCGAGGCCAACCTCGCCAGTTCTGGGCGAGGCCGACCTCGCCAATGGCCGCGGGCGAGCCTCGCCCGGCGGCCGGCGTGGGCGAGTTCTCGCCCGGATCGGCGAGGCTCGCCCCGCCGCACGAGCGAGGTCGGCCTCGCCCAAGTGCGACGAGGTTTAGCCTCGGCCGACCTCGCCGTTCTTCGGGCGAGGCCGACCTCGCCACTTGCTTGGCGGGGCCGAGCCTCGCCAGGATCTAGCGAGAACTCGGCCCACGCCGGCTTGGCGGCAGGCCTCGCCAATAGCCCGGCGGGGCCGAGCCTCGCTATGGCCGGGCGAGGCTCGGCCCCGCCGGCTATTGGCGAGGTCGGCCTCACCCAACGCCGGCGTGGCCGAGCCTCGCCAGCGACCGGAGGGGCCGAGCCTCGCCGGTCGCCGGACCGGCGACCGGCCAGAAGGTGAAACAAAAAAAAAAAGAAAAGGAAAGGAAAAAGAAAAGAAAAGAAAAAATAAAAAAATTTTAAAAAATAATATTAAAAAATTGGACGAAAAGTTAACTTGGTAGATTTGGGACAAAAGTAAAAGTTTGGGGTTTTCATGAGACAAAAAAAAGTTTGAGATATAATTGGGACAAAGGCTAAAGTTGGGAGTTTTTTAGGGAATTGGGCCGTCGATCTTCTGTTTAGTCGAAACTCCTAAAACTTTCACAACCTATGAATGTCGACACATAGAATCACATTCTTAATTTTGAAATCGAGCAATACATAGGATTTTGGTAGGAAATTAAAAAAAAAAAGTTGTTTTTTTTGTGCGGCTTTTCTTAAAAGTAAAAACCAAACCCGCGCTGGGTTGGAAGGGCCCGACCAGCTCATCCTCGACCCGGCCCGGCCCATTTGTGAATCGGGGCGCGGGGACGTGCCCGCCCGATTCAACTCCATCTCATAAACCCCCAAGCAGCGACCTTCCTCTTATCTAAAACCCTCCGGCGCCGGAGGACTTCCATTTCTTCGTTCGCCCCAACGGAAAAGCATGTCTTCGCTCTCCCTCCAATTCAAATTCCTCCACCTCTCCCCAAATCTCGCCTCCCTTCACTCCCAATCTCCGCTCGCGTCTCACCAGCCCATCACATTCGGCAACCGCACCAAGCTCGAGCTCCGAGCGTCGTCGTCGTCGTCCTCCTCCTCGGCCTCGAAGCAACCGCAGCAGCGGCCGAAGAAGAGGCGAGGCGGGAGCGACGCGGAGCGAGGGATCGATCCGGCGGGATTCCTCACCAAGTTAGGCGTCTCCCACAAGGGCTTCGCTCAGTTCCTCCGAGAGAGGTGAGTGTGTTTGGAATCCGAAGCGAGTTCGAGTTAGGGGCAGGAGCGTGATCGATTCCGTCCGTTGCGTTACCGAGGAAGTAGTATCTATGTAAATGTGTCCTGCAATGCGGTGTCGCTAGGCTACCGATCATGTTTTTGCGGAGCTTCAGAACTCGAAGGCGAGTTAGTTACGGATCGAAGCTATACCGTGAGTCCAACACATATGAATTTGGCCTGGGACATTACGTCGCCAATGACATTCGATCTTACTGTTGCGTGAGATACTAGCTCGGGGTTTTGCGGCCTTTTAACTGAGGCAGTTAGTGCGTCGTTTTTTTTGTGGCTATGCTAGTTAGTGTGGAAATGAAGGTGGAGAATAGATTCTCCGGAGGATATATTGCCGGCCCTTTCCTCGGTGCATCTGGAAATTGTTCTTCATTTTGTCTGTTGTCGCCATATTTTTTCAGGCATAAAGCGCTGAAGGACCTCAAAGATGAGATATTCAATCGTCACCTCAATCTTAAGGAAATGGCCTCTGGGTTAGTGTTACCTCGTGATATTTAAGTTCGCTTACTTTCTCGCTTCTTTTACTGAACTGTACCTCTGATGTATAAAGAAAAGATCTTTTCGACTAGTTATCGCATCTGTTGTCAATCTTCTTCCGTTATCACGTTCTTTCACCTATCCTTATGGTCTCTAGCACCACATCAGTTCGACTAGAGACATGAGACCCTTTCTCTTGAGGCTTTCAATGAAATTATGCAGTTTCACCAAACCACATAGGTGCAATAGTGTGCATTTATTTGATTGAGGTTTTCCGTTTTCGTTTTTTAGCAAAGGAAAACAACTCTCATGTTTGTTGGAGTATACATTTGGAAAAATACAACGTTTCCTATGTATTTTCACTCTCATATGGCAGCTTAATGTTTTTCTCTTCTTGATTGGCTGATTTATTTATTTGGTGGCTGAATTTGAGTGAGATTTCATTTTTCTATATCTTAATAATTTTTTTTCCCTTCAGATTTGAGATATTGGGTATGCATCGTCATGTGGAACATCGGGTAGATTATATGGAATGGGCTCCAGGTTTGACATAACACTCAAGTCTGATTATAGTCTCAATCTATTTGATGAACTGGACTTTGTTATATTGAGAAACTTGGCAACCTGCTCTGTAACTCGATTTGCCTATTCAAAGTTTTACAAGTCCCTCAGACATTTTGCCAACTTTTTTGGGCATAGACTTTTCCATCTCTTTTTACCGCCTCTTGCTCTAGGAATTATCTTATCTTCGTGTCGCCTTTCACTTGTGGCGTGTTAACTCTAGGTGCTCGCTATTGTGCCCTTGTTGGTGACTTCAATGGCTGGTCACCTACTGAAAATTGTGCTAGAGAGGGTCACTTTGGCCATGACGACTATGGTTATTGGTTTATCATTCTTGAAGATAAGCTAAGGGAAGGAGAAGAGCCTGATGAGCTTTACTTTCAGCAGTATAACTATGTAGATGACTATGACAAAGGTGACAGTGGTCTTACCATAGAAGAGATCTTCAAGAAAGCAAATGATGAATACTGGGAACCTGGAGAGGATCGTTTTGTGAAAAATCGATTTGAATTACCAGCAAAGTTATATGAGCAGTTATTTGGGCCAAATGGGCCTCAATCAATACAGGAATTGGGACAAATACCGGATGCTGAGACGAGATATAGAGCTTTCAAAGAGGAGCATAAGGACGATCCGCCTGGCAGCCGACCTCCATTTGACGTTATTGACAATGGTAAAACTTATGACATTTATAACATAGCGGGTGATCCTGTTTCCTACGAAAATTTTAAAGCTAAGAAGCCGCCGATAGCATATTGGTTGGAGACGCGTAAAGGGAGGAAAGCATGGCTAAAAAAGTATACTCCTGGTATTCCTCACGGAAGCAAATATAGGGTTTACTTTAATACTCCCAGCGGGCCGTTGGAACGGGTTCCTGCTTGGGCTACTTATGTACAGCCAGGTATACTTGCTTTTCAACTATCAGCATTAATCAACTCGTTTCATCTTCCTTCCAAACAATAGTTTTTGTGTGTTGTTATTTTGGCATGAACTAGAATGTCAAATATTTTGTTTCAACAACCACCACCACCAAGTCTTTTCTCACTAAGTGGAGTCGTCTAAATGGATCTTTTGACACATCGTTCTCTATCCTGGACTAAATCTTTGTTATATTGAATGTCAGATTTTTATTCAAAGTATCCAACTTTATCTTTTTAGGCCTTCTCCTACCCCTTTTACCCTGCATTTTACACCGTAAGTCACATATTCTGACTGAAGCAATCTGTCGTTTAACATATCCGAACCACCTTAATAAGTTTCTCCTAATCTTATCTTCAATTGGAGCCACTCTAGTTTTTCTTATATACATATAGTTAATATCCACCATTGTTTTACATGTGATTAATCTACAATTCTAATAGGTGTCCGCTGCTTTAAGAGAATCCTCTTTAGTGGTTATAGTAGTAAAATGTCAAAACAATCTGTTCGAGAGGTTGCCTGTCAAATCAAATGAACTACTATAAGCTCTTGTACTGATTTTTAGTGGGAACCGGATGTTTAAAAGTCCAATTAACTAGAAGTATGCCAGAGGAATGAATAGTTTATTGCAAGTATAGAAGCTCCCCTCTATTTCCAACCCATTATACATGCCTAAGCCAGTACTGTTTTCGGCGCATATTTGCCTGGTTCATTACAATGGTGTACTTCTGATCATTTCTTGTTTAATTCTATTTGCGTGGGTATGCAAATTATTCTAAGAAACTCTTGTTTGCACTTTATAGATACATTGATATGGCATCACATAGATTCTGTATGATGTTAAATAGTCAATGACAGATGCAGAAGGAAAGCAAGCTTTCGCTGTTCACTGGGAACCACCACCCGAATGTGCCTACAAATGGAAAAACCCTAGCCCAAAGGTGCCGGTGTCTCTGCGTATATACGAATGCCACGTTGGAATTAGTGGATCCGAGGCAAAAGTATCTTCCTTTAACGAATTCACTGAGAAGGTTGCACCCTAAATGTACCTCCTATTCTGTATCAGGGATGTTGTAACATCCTAACCATTACTTGCCTACACTGTAGGTTCTTCCTCATATCAAGGATGCTGGTTATAATGCAATACAATTGATTGGGGTAGTCGAGCACAAGGATTATTATACTGTCGGTTATAGAGTGAGTTACAAAAAATAACCCTCTCTTTCTAAAATAGAACGTCATCTTTTTGATAGGGCTGAGCTTTTTAGTATCTCTGCTGAATTTGTATGACCCTTCACATCCCTTGTGGATAAAAATTCTGTTGATGGTTCATAACTTAAGTACAATTGCTGCATTTGGTGCGAGATTTATGTGATGTTTTCAAGCATCATTTGGCAATGCAGGTGACAAATTTTTATGCCGTGAGCAGCCGATTTGGTACTCCTGATGACTTCAAGTGCTTGGTTGATGAAGCACATGGTATTTTCTCTAAGACTTACAAATGACTTATAACAAATTAATTCTTAATTAGGAGAGGCTAGTAAAAAATTTTGTGACGTTTGGACCCTACGAGCTAGTCACTTTCACACATGTGGCTTGATTTTGTAAATTTCTAATGCACTATAGAATCCAATGCATGTTACTCAAAAAAGAAAATAGCTGGCATTTACTGTTCTGACGCTCTGATCTCAGTACTTTGGTGAAATTAATGTTACCCTTTCCAGTTACGTGGCAAGCCTGAGAGCAAAAAAAGCAAAGTACATTCATTACCCAGGCTTTTATCAGTTTGTAAAGAATTAGGTAATTGTCAAAAAAAGTCGAACACAGATCTTTCTTATTCTAGTTTTCCATGAGACATTCTTAGAACATTGTATCAAGTGTCTATTACTAAATTGTTTCTGCTCGTGAAGAAAGGAAGTATATAGTTAATAGACCTTGTATTGCAATTCATGTTGTGCTCAAGATATTTTCTTGTTGAGCAGTTTGGTTGGGCATCACAGTCCATTTACATCCTAAAGCCACCTCTCTCTGTTCCATGCCTATATCCTTAAATGAGGTTATGCTTGTCAATTAATTTTCCTTATTCTCTATTTCTCATTACAGGTCTTGGATTGTTGGTCTTTTTAGATATTGTCCATTCCTATTCAGCTGCAGATGAGATGGTTGGTCTCTCACTATTTGATGGATCAAACGACTGTTACTTTCATACAGGTACAAGCTTGTTGGAGGCTTTTGTCACCAATTTGCAATAGGAATTTGTTTATATATATCCTTGTTTTTCTTTTATCATGTTACGTGACTTGTTTTCTCCATTAAATTTGTTAGGGATTGATGATGCTTTAGTTCCACTTTTTGATTATTTTGGACCACCATTTTCACACTAGAAATGATGACGGAGGGATGCCTCTGCATATATGATGAACCTCTGCTTGAAAATATATTGCTCCTTGTTTTTGTAATGGCATGATATGCTCAAGCTATTGATCTTCTAGACTTGGTTCACACACACACACATATTGCTCAACGTGATAACTTTTTTAACTTATTTTCACTTTCATTCTGTTATTCTTGTCTTATTCCAGTCACCTTTCTCTATTGAATGCTGTAGCTTGGCTGAAATTATTTTCCAATGCTGTATTTGAGTGTAATGGCTGACATGTAAATATTCACTTCCAAACTTTCCCGAACTGTCCTTAACCTTGGCACTTAATGATTTGGTGCATTCAGGAGCTGTAACTGCATATGGGTTTTAGTTAGGTTTTTCCATTGGCTTTTATGCTGTTGTGTCATGGCTTCTGTATTCCATCTGGTATGTGGAAAATCATCTGATGCTTACATGATGATGGTTAATTACCAATCTGATCAAGTAGCTATATCTGATATATGAAAAACTGCTTGCTTGTGTAGGTAAGCGAGGACAACACAAATACTGGGGTACCCGAATGTTTAGATATGGAGACCCTGATGTCCTGCATTTCCTTCTATCTAATCTAAATTGGTAAATGTACAATAAAACTGATAATTTTCGTTCTAATCTGTGGGATCAATGGACTTATGACCTGCAGACTCCCCTGTCTACCTAAAGGGGCAGCTGTGCTTTTTTGGGTGTTCGATGTTTGGTGACCTGTTATATGGTGTTCTTTGGGCATGTACTCAAGTTAATAATGTTGCATTGCTCATAGATGGTGTTTTGGCAGGTGGGTTGTTGAGTATCATGTTGACGGTTTCCACTTCCATTCTCTCTCATCAATGATGTACACGCACAATGGTTTTGCCTCTTTTACTGGAGACTTTGAAGAGTAAGGACATCTTGGCTAAAGTTTTTCCATCATCCACCCATTTGGTCTTGAATGCAGTGTAGATCCCTGTGAAAGGAATTTCTGTTTGTTTTACTCTCATGATTTCTTAGGAACTTAGTTGGCAATTCATCTGTTGCAGGTACTGCAATCAATATGTTGACAGGGATGCATTGATGTATCTCATTTTGGCAAATGAAATACTCCATGCTCTTCATCCAAATATAGTAACAATTGCTGAAGATGTGAGTTTCGAGTCAAAAGTTCTCCCGGTCAAGTGGACGATTAGAGTTTCAATTGAATCTCAATTAGTCGGTTTCTTTCCCTTTAAATGGAAATTACAGAGTATTTGGTGACTCATAAGTCCTAAGTGATAGATAAGGGAAAAAAATTCTTCCCGTGACAGTTTATTTAGCATGATGCCCTTGCAGTCACAAGTGATTAGAAGCATCTTGCTGACAGAATTGTTATCAAGTAATTTTTACAATCATCAATTAATATCTTTAGACACCCTATGTACAGGCAACATCTTATCCAGGCCTGTGTGAGCCAACTTCTCAGGGTGGATTGGGATTTGATTATCATGTCAATTTAGCTGTATCAGAGATGTGGCTGTCTTTACTAGAAAATACTCCAGATCACGAGTGGAACATGAGTAAGGTCATCCTCTGTGATAATTGAGATTATAATTACTGAGCAATAGAATGATATTCTTCCTAATTATACTTAGAAATCTTCAACACACCTTTGCAGTATTCAAGCTGACTTGAATTATCACTGCAGATTGTCAGCACATTAATTGGTAACCGACACTATGCTGATAAGATGCTTATTTATGCGGAAAACCACAATCAAGTAATTAATTTTTTTTCATTGCATGGAAGCTTCTGTTTTATTTCTAGATCATCATCATCATTATCCTCACTAATTATTTCGTTTCTTGCTTGTTTAATGCCATCATTGTGACCTTTCAGTCCATATCTGGAGGACAGTCATTTGCTGAGATACTTTTTGGTAAAATCAGGCAGCATTCTTCTGGCTCGAAAGATCTACTGCTTCGAGGCTGTTCATTGCACAAGGTAGGTGAAGTTCTCCTTGAAGATCTTTTCACTCTGCTTTTTACCACCTGTGTTATTTTTCTCTCTGATATCTCATTAAGGTAGCCATTGCAAAGAAGTTGTAATATCTTTTCTTTATCTGTGCTACATTGAAATTTGTTCCACATTGTGATGATTTTGTAGTAAATATATTGAGATACTATTTGCAATGCCTCACAAAGGGTAGGATTTTGGTTTGATAAACAAAGTTAAGATAGGTTCCTTCAATCTTTTGTTGTATTTTTGTCTGCTAAGCTCCTTGAGACATCACATCTGCTACTATTAGCGACTGGATTTTCTGTACACAACAAGTTATCTAATGACCTTGAGTGTTTCTATTCCTAATACTTCGTGTGCTTTGCCGCAGCATCAAGTTAGTATTGTGGGTGCTTCTGTAATTATCTTTAGCCCTCATATTTGGCTCGTTTATTTTGAAGTTTACTGTGCAAGATGGTGCCCCAGATAGGTACTAGGTTTAGGGACTGTATCTCTGATGCCTGATCGAAAACTTTCTAAGCCTTAAAAGTTGAAACAATTACATTTTGGCTATGAGATCACTAACGCAACTGATCATTGTCATTGTTGTTGACATCACCATGAAAGATTTTAATTTCTTTATTGTTGTTGCTAACCAGTAATTACTTTAAACTCACTCTTTCGGTTTTTAAAACTGGTGTAGTTAATTCTGAATTCTATCCTCTTTTCTCGAGTCAGATGATCCGACTAATAACATTCACAATATGTGGCCATGCTTTCCTCAACTTCATGGGTAATGAATTTGGTCATCCGGAGGTAAGGATGCTTCCCTCGAGCTGTTTGTAGGACTTCATATCATATGAATAATAAATCTTTTATGCTGTTAGAGAGTCGAATTTCCGATGCCAAGCAACAACTTCTCCTATTCTCTAGCCAGCCGGCGTTGGGATCTGTTGGGGAATGGAGTGTATCAAAATTTATTTTCCTTTGACAAGGTATGGGTGCTGACAATAAATTACTTATGAACTAGAGATTAAGAGGATTTCAATAACTTTTCATCTCTAGTATAGGAAGATTTAACTTTCTGCCCTACGTCTGCATACATGAACTGTTCCTGCCTTTTGTTGAAAAGTCTGATGTTGTGAGCAAGTTCCACTTGACCTTTTACCTCTCTCTGTTGCAAATAATTTTGGTGTTTCGGTAAGCACCCTTCGGTTCTTTGATGCTACTGCATTTATTCTGCTCTTGAAATAGAAGAATATCATTTGCATGCGGTTATCATTTATGTGCAAACGATTGCAATTAAACTTCATGCAATATGCTAAGGGCGAAATTTTGCAATTTTATTCTTTTTCCTAGGACATGATGAAGTTGGACGAGAATGAGAGGGTGCTTTCAAGAGGTTTTCCAAATATCCATCATGTGAATGACTCCAGCATGGTATGAAGATTATTAGTTGTTATTTTTTATGTTAGCATATATGTTTCTTTGTGATGGGAGCTTAGTAATGGGTCTGTGGATCTACAGGCTTATGTACCTTTGTGTGTGTCTGTGCTATTGGCAGCATGCTTTGTTGAAACCAGTTCCAGATTTCTGGATGTATGAGCAGCTTTTTTTCTTTGGGTGGGTTGGGGTTTATATGAATTCTTTGCATTTTTAAGCATGCATAACCACTTGAGCTTCAAGGTTGAGCAAGTAAGATCTGAGGGTTAGCTAAAAGGTTGGTCTGACAGAAGTCAACAGATGAATACAGAAAACTATATAAATTTTGAATATGCTAGTAATTCATCTTCTTTGATGTCAATGGACGAGCAGGTCTATATTGGTCCACTATGAAGGGTCCTCTCTCTCTCTCTCTCTCTCTCTCTCTCTCTCTCTCTCACACACACACACATACACACACACACACTCTAGTGTGCAGGCATGCGAACAGATTCATGGGTTCCTAGTGGCATGTGACTGAGAATGTAAGCTCCCATTAGGACTGAAGTACATGCACTTTTGAAAGCCATCTTCAAGGAGCTATCACCGAACCTCATAAGCATCATATGATATTATGATTACAGTTTGTGCAGCAAGCAACAAGATTGATCTCCCTTCTAAAAGTACTCTGAAACCATGCGATACGCTTATTGTTTACGCATGGTTTGTGATTTGCAGGTGATATCTTTTATACGAGGTCCTCTTCTCTTCATATTTAACTTTCATCCAACTGCTTCCTATGAAAGGTATGTGGTAGGCGTGGAAGAGGCTGGAGAGTATCAAGTAAGTGAATGTTTCATATCCAGAACAAATCTAGATATAGGGATCTTTCGTAGCATGTAGTTTCAGTACAGCCTGGAAGTGCTTAGCATGAGGATATGAGGCTTGCATGCAGACCCCACAAATGTAATCTTTGAATTTGTGAGTGTATTGAATGGGTTAGCTCATCTTTTTTGAGTGGTGTTCACATGATGGCCAGGCAATTCTAAATACAGATGAAAAGGACTATGGAGGTCAGGGGCTTATAGAGGAAAGCCAGTATCTCCAGAGAACCATTAGCCGACGGTAATATTCTCTTTTCCAGTGCATTGCCTACTTATCGAGTTCTGCGACATCCTTCTCCTCCAACTTATGATCCTTAACTCTGTAGAGCTGATGGCTTGCGGAATTGCTTGGAAGTCCCTGTACCAAGTAGGACTGCCCAGGTATGTGAATGGACTGGACTGTCATTGGCATCTCTCTCTCTCTCTGCCTGCGTGCGCACATGTTTGCTTGTGTGTGTGGCAATGATATGGAATGTTTTCAGATGTTGGCGCAACCAACATTACACTTTTGGGCCAATCGTTCTTTGGAACCAGATAAACAACTATAAGTTGATGCTAGAAAATGAGCTTGGTACTGGTTGGCAAAAAATGTCGCTCTCCTGAGAGAAGCTGACTTTTCAGCATTTGACTTGCTCAATTCGTGGTTATAGATTTTAAGTAGATGAAATTTCTTTCCTATTACACGTCCACTAAAACTAGTTTTACATGTTTTCTCATCGTTGGAATTGTAAACTCTCTCAGTACCGCATATGGCTCAACCATTCTCATAAGAATGTATGATTTTCCTGTGTCTAAGTCTTCAAATAATAAAGTCAAGCATTGAGGATTCATCCAAAAATGTTGTTTTCTTTTTTCGCACGTATGATATATACAATGACTTTCTACTGGCAAGGTTGGTAGTCGCATTTGATACTGAGAAAATTCGGAAGTGATGAACTTGTTCCAACTTTTACCCTGCTCACCCGCTTGGGTATACAGGAGGCCAGAATGACCAGAATTTTCTTTTATCAAGCAAAGAAAAATTGACCGTTTCATTTAAGATATGTACTGAGAACCTTCTCACATTTCTGCAGGTGTACAAATTGAAACGGATCTTGAGGATATGAATGTTATTTAACTTTCTCAAGGAGAGTGCATTTGGAGGTTGGAAAGGACAAAGAAATTCTATTTCGCAAAGCTAATTTTGAAACACAAGAAGCGAACGAGATAAACACTGCTTGGCATGTCAGCTCCAAAAGATTACTTGCCCTTTTGACCAGCATAAATCAATGCTAGTTGCTGGAGCATTATATTGTGAGAGAAAAATTAATTCCAATTGAGGTATTCGGTGGAATTTCAGTCTATTCACCTTAGAAATTTTTGCTGTCCTCATTCAAGTATACGGATCGAACAATTTATGGCACGGGCAGCCTGGAGTAGTGAGAGTTTCAGCTCTCACAACACGTGGAATCAATATGAGTCAGAGTGGTATCAGGGCAGATCTTTCAGAATCTAAAGCACTTACTCCGTTTGGTGTCTTGCAGAGGAACGTATGTGGTTGGTCTAAATCTCTCCGACAGGAGGCCGAGTTTGAAACGGGTGAGGTGGCAAGCAAAGATCATGCGCATCCATTGCCTTATTTTTCGCTCCTCCATTTGATGATGTTTGTCCATTGCCTTTTACATAACTGTATTTTCAAAGATAAGATTTGATACAAAAGGAAGTTTGTAGTGTAATTATCGAACCATCCAAAAGGAGCATGATTATTCTTTTAGGTTGTCCTCAACGCTGTAAGGGATTGCGTCTATATGTGAGTAACAGGGGCATGGGGATTTGATTGAGCTGGTGGGATGCACCTCCTGTGAATCCACCTGATCTAATGATGACCGCTCGAACACTGGAGTCGGTAACTCACTAACTTGTCCACAAAATTTCTGCACTGGAGCGACAAGTTTCATGGTGGCTTCATCATTCCTTCGTGTATGGCTGGATTGAGCATGTGATTCAAGATTTGCTGGATGGTATGTGAAAGGTCAGCCACGCAATCTACCATTTGAGATCCTTGCAGGTGTAAGGGGGGAGAGAATATCAGTTAAATTGGGTAGTCTTCTTGGAAGATTTGTCAAATCTATGCAATCAATCTTTCTGCCATTCGTTACGTGCTTCCAATTTGGTACTTCATTTGTCCCTTCAGATGTAGAAATTCAAAATATCAGAGTCATGTATAATGGAAATATAAAATTTATCTTTGAGATACTCGTCAAATATGATAGAAATGGACTCGCACGACAAGGACTAGAAATGTAGCTATGACGAGAAAACCAAGGGTCGAGCTTTCACGAAGTGAGAACAATTTGGTTCTTGTTCCCTGTTGATTCTATTTTTTATTTTTTTTGGGTCAGACTGTTGATTCAATTAGCCACGCCAAACACTTCACTTCCAGCAATGCCTGTTTTCTCTTCTTATTCAATTGAAGACTTCGGCGACATTTACTAGAGTTTTGTTGGGAAGTTTTATTCACAAGGAGTATTAACAGTTGTAAAATAAATCTTTTGTTAGTTAGACTAATGGCATTTGAAGTAGAAAAAAAAAGGTCGATAAACAAAATATTGGTAATTTATGAGAATGAAGTTGGTAATTTAGAACAGTGGGTAACTAATGCATATGAAAGTTGGTAATTTATGAGAATGAGGGGTGATTTCGAACCAATCAATGGCAATTTAAAATAAGTAATTCCAACTTATTGAGAAATTACCGGACAAACAGTTAACTGGTCACATTTGACTTACCAACAATATTTGAAATTTACCAACCTTGTTTGCAATAAACCAATACGGAAAATGGTTCCTTTTTTTTTTTTTCTGTCATGTAATGACGATGAACTCAGCCCTAAGTCGTGGAATGTCCAACCAGTCTCCTTGCTTCCTCCAGTGTGCCCGTAAATCTATCCAAGTTGATCGTCACGTTCTGGCCATCAACATACACAGCCCTAACAGCTGTGTACCCCATGGCGAAGACCGATAAAGGGTCGACAATCACCGGATGATCGAGCCCATATACTTCGGCGAGAGAGCTCTCCTGGGGCTCTATCTTATACTCCAGATATCGCACATCCATTGCGGTAGCCGGAATTTCAAAATAGTTGGACGAACCCCACTCCAGTCCTAGCAGAACCACCTGAACTACCACTGCACCGTCCGGCAAAAAGATCCCGTTGGCAAGACCCGCACCGTGGACTCCGATGAAAACACTGCACGAACCGACCGTCTTCGCAAACAGCTCTAGATTCGACATCATACTAGGCCCTGCCGTCACTACTTGAAAACCCAACCCCTGCGCCAGTTCCACGATGGCGTCCTCGTTCAGAAATTTTCTCGAGTTGGTCCTGGAAATGAGGATGAGGACCGGCTTCTGTAGCTTTTCGATCTCGTGCACGTTCTTGGTCTTCAAATTGTAAGATTCTCTGAGGAATTGCCTGAATTCGCGCATGGAGTGTCCTCCGGGGATGTCACTGGTGTTCAGGGCTAAATTGCCGTGGTACCTAAGTCCCACAACTGCCCCGGGAAAGCAGTGAACACTCCCATCGGCTAAATTGAGAACCTCGTAATCAGACAAGCGGTTCAAAATCCTTGAGTATTTCTGAATCCACAAGGCATTGCGATCGGTGGTGACGAACTTCAGCTGCGATCGGAAGTGCCGGCAGGTGAGGAACAAGGGAATGATGATCTCACTGAACTCATGGAAGGCGTTTCCTGTAACGCCCGTCGAGAAGATCACTGCTGGGATGCTGTGCGTGAAATTGCAGGCTGGTAAATCAGCCGCGTCCCCATGAAGTACCTGGACCGGAGTGACTAGTTTCATCGCCCCTTCATCTTCTCTTCTCGCGTAGGGTCGAACCAAACGCTTGAACTTAGATCCATCAGACCGTACGTGAACAGTCAAACCGCCATTGGAGATCCAAACGGGTTTAGCTGAGAGACACATTTCGGTGTGTAGGTCAAAGTGGCATGTGAACCCTCCAACCTGCAGCTGGTTTCTCTCTTCTCCTGCATAAGGGCATGAGCTCAACTTACTGTAAGCGAAACAAGGACAAATAGACAAGCAAGCAGAGGTCGAATGTGCAGTCTTTTGCTTCTGAAACTACCGTTTGAGGCACACTTAGGTTAACATGTTGGCTACATTTGAAGTAAGCAAAGAAATGCAGAAGCTGAAAAGGTAACCTCTTACTAGTCTTCTCAGTAGATCCTTGAGACCGTCTCTCTCTTCGGTGACTTCACCTACCTCTCCTGCGTCACTATTGCCCCTCCAATTTGGAATCTGATTCCTCCCTGAAATTTGTACTCCGGGTTAGGAGTTAATCTTTCAATGATCAACCCGACAACATGACATACGACAGCGAAAGGAGAAGCGTAAGCGAAGTCGAACTAGGAACCGAAGCTACATGATAGAAACGGCGCGTCCTTCAATACGAGAAGGGCGATACAGAGCGAAACCACGATAAGCAAAAGCCCTGTCGATGCTGCTCCGAGCACCGGGCGCTTCGACTCCTTCCCCATAATCTGTCGCACTAAAACACATGGCCAAGTCTGCAAAGTTTCATAGACTAAAAACCTGAAACGAGCAATTCATTGGGGTTGAGGGGTCTCATTCTTTCTTAAGAGGCTCTTGCATACATCTTCCTCTGCAACTAGGCAGTTCGGTCTAATTGGCAAATCTAATTCCGCAAGACTTCCAGGGGATGATAGAGAAACGTTGGCTGGAGTATCTTATGATATTCATCAAGTCTCCCGAGGAGAATAGTGGTGATTAAATTTAATGGTTTGTGCGACTCTTTGCTCACCGCAATCTTAGCTGAACAGTCTTAATGATCTTAATTAACGGTGCGGAGCAATTTAAAGCTTTTGTCTGCTTTCGCGTGCTCAATCAGCTATGAAGCACCGACACGTTGGGGAGGCAAAACACGCTCCGACACGCGGTCAACGGGTGTCGGACATCCGACACGCGGTTAACACGCCGGATACGCCGGGGACACGCGTGTCCCTTCGTCACCGAGGGAGAGAATGAGAAAGAAGGTGCCAGATCTCTGGCTCCCACGCCGTCATCTCCTTCGCCCCCGCTTCTCCGGCACCGAGGACGACGCCCTCCACGCCGTCATCTCCTTCGCCTCGCGCTTCGCCGGTGACGGAGGAGAAGGAAGAGGTGGAAGGAACCTGTTGTTAGGGTTTTTTGACAAAGTGAAAGTGGGCTGGGCTTCCAAGAACGGGCTGTTTTTTTTTTTTTTTGAGAAAAAACCACCAAAAACCCCAAACTTTGCCATCTGTGACACGTTTACCCCAAACTTTTTTTTGTGACACAAAAAACCCCGAACTTTGCTTTTTGTGACACATTTACCCCAATGTATTAAGTCCATGGGCATTTTCGTCTTTTTTGCTTTTTCTTTTTTTTTCTCTTTTTTCCTTTCCGTGAGGGGCCTCGCGGCTGTCGGCGAGGGCTGCCCATCGCCGGATCCGGTGAGGGGGCCCTCGCCGGCGCCGAGCGAGGCGGCCCTCGCCGAGATCCGGCGAGGCGGCCCTCGCGGCATCGGGCGAGCGAGGGCCGCCCTCGCTCGCCCAGCGAGGGCGACCTCCGGCGTCGGGCGAGGTCCGCCCTCGCGGCGAGCGAGGGCGGCCCTCGCCCGATCCGGGCGAGTCGACCCTCGCCGGCGTCGGGCGGCCCTCGCCGGATCGGGCGAGGGCGACCCTCGCGGCGTCGGCGACCCTCGCGGCGTCGAGCGAGGGTCGCCCTCGCCGTCGGGCGAGGGCCGCCCTCGCTCGACGCCGGCGAGGGTCGACCTCGCCAGATCGGGCGAGGGCCGCCCTCGCTCGCCTAGGCGAGGGCGGACCTCGCCCGACGCCGGCGAGGGTCGCCCTCGCCCGGGCTAGCGAGGGCGGGCCTCGCCCAGGCTCGGGCGAGGTCGACCCTCGCCCGACGCCTCCGCCGGCGTCGGGCGAGGGCCGCCCTCGCTCGCCCGAGCGAGGGCGAACCTCGCCCGACCCCGGCGAGGGCCGCCCTCGCTCGACGCTGGCGAGGGCCCTCCTCGCCGGATCCGGCGAGGCCCCCCTCGCCGGAAAGGAAAAAAAAAGAAAAAAAAAAAAGCAAAAAAGACGAAAATGCCCATTGACTAAATACATTGGGGTAAATGTGTCACAAAAAGCAAAGTTCGGGGTTTTTGGTGTCACAAAAAAAAAGTTCGGGGTAAATGTGTCACAGATGGCAAAGTTTGGGGTTTTTGGTGGTTTTTTCCCTTTTTTTATCTTGTATTTTCCTTTCTTTCAAATTTGATTATTTACTTTTAGTTTCTTAACTAATATATTTGTTTATACATAATTATTTTTTGAAAATTTATGTGTATAATTTTTTTAGGGTAAATTCAATCTAGGCTTATTATTATTATTATTTATTTACTTATATGAATCAAATTTAAAAAATGATAATTTATCATGTATATATAAATATATATTTAATATACAACATGTCCGAACGTGTCGGAATTCTCTATTTTTTGAGAAATGATGTGTCGCGTGTCGGTTCTACTTAGTCAATCAGTGTGGATTTTTCTCCACACTCTACAATCAAGTGTCTACTCCATCTCGTAGAAGAGGCTCGAGTCATATGCATTAGCTTCAAAAACCTCTTTTCACTTTTGATATAACCGGTCAAATCACTAGTTTACCGAGAAAAAGCCTTTTTAATTCATGCCGTCGATACACGTTGTGTCGCGTTCGAATTTTGCTATAGATGTTTCGTGCTCCGTCCCATGTTATGAAACGGATCAATTTCTCGAATGTCGACGACCCTGGATGATTAGCCACCTCTTCTCTAACGTTTTCGTCTTCGCCCCATCATGTAAGATCTGGAGTGATCTTGCATCGGATCCTAGTACAGTGAAATTAAGCTGCCAACATTGGCTCTTACAACATCTAGAAGACAACAAAACGGGACACACTGATAGATTAAACCGATATGAGAAGCGTGGAAAAAAAAATAAGAAGAAAAATGAAAGAAGAGAAGATCGAGTGGAACCTGCAAATTGTGCGCATTCATATTGTCGAGGGAGCTGAGGTGAATCCAGAAAATCGCAGATAACAACGTTGGCCTTCTGTTATCATTCTACAAGCGTCTTCTTCCATTCGGCTAAGTTAATCTCCACAGATAGCTTCACCATGTTCCCTTTTCAAAGATTGTCTACATTCTCGTGTTTCAAGAATATGCGGTATGCGTTGTCTAGCGTAACGTGCAGAGCTGGTTTTGTTTTGCACAGGAACTAGTGTTGTTCGATACTATATATAAAATCCGCAAAACGTACTAATATTTTTTACATTGATTCCATTGAAAATTTGTCTCGAATTTGAGCCCGAAAAAGGAAACTTGGGTCTCCTAATTTAAGTAGATTTCTTGTTTGCAGTTTACAAATATGGAAAATTGTTAAGTTTAGTAGCACACAAAACAATAGAATTTTCTTACCAAAAAAAAAAACAATAGAATTTTGCTTCAACAAAAAAGTTGAGGTGTATATCCAAAAACAGATTGACGGAAAGCCAACCGTGCTGCCTTCTGTTATTTATTGACAATGACCTCAGCCCTAAGCCATGAAATGTCTAACAAGTCTCATTGCTTCCTCCAGTGTGTCCTTAAATCTATCCAAGTTGATCTTCACATTCTGGCCATCTACATACACAGCCTGCGCTGCCAAGTACCCCTTTGCAAATATGGATGCAGGGTCGACAATCACCGGATCATCCGGCCCGTACACTTCGGACAGAGAGCTCTCTTTGGGCTCTATCTTATATTCCAGATAATGCAGATTCATTGCGGTTGCTGGAATATCGAAGTAGTTGGTCGAAGCCCAGTGTAGTCCTAGCGGCACCACCTGAAATACCACTGCGCCGTCTGGCAAAAAGATCTCGTTAGTAAGACCCGCACCATGGACTCCGGCCAAAATGTTGCATGAACCAACCATCTTTGCCAACAGCTCTAGATTCGACATCGTATCTAGCCCTGCCCTTACTACTTGAAAGCCCAACTCTTGTGCCAGTTCCACGACGCCATCCTCGTTCAGGAATTTTCTCGTGTGGTTCCTGGAAATGAGGATCATGACCGGCTTCTGTAGCTTTTTGATCTCGTTCACATTCTTTATCTTCACATTGTACGATTCTCTGAGAAATTGCCTGAATTCGCGCATGGAGTATCCTGCAGGGACGTCGCTGGTGTTCAGGGCTAAATTGTCGTGGTACCTAAGTCCCACGACTGCCCCTGGAAAGCAGTGAACATTCCCATCGTCTAAATTGAGAACCTCGAAATCAGACAAGCGGTTCAAAATCCGTGAGTATTTCTGATTCCACGAGGAATTGCGATCGGTGGTGACAAACTTCAGCTGCGATCGGAAGTGCCGGCATGTGAGGAACAAGGGAATGATGATTTCGCTGAACTCGTGGAAGGTGTTTCCTGTAACAGCTGTCGAGAAGATCACCGCTGGGATGCTGTGCCTGAAATTGCAGGGCGGTAAATTAGTCGCGTCCCCTTGAAGTATCTGCACCGGAGTGACTGGTTTCATCATTCTTTCGTCATCTCTCCTCGCGTAGGGTCGAACCGAGCGCTCGAACTGAGATCCATTGGTCAGTACATGAACAGTCAACCCACCATTGGAGATCCTAACGGGATTAGCTGAGAGACACATTTCGGTGTGGAGGTCGAAGTGGCATGTGAACCCTCCAACCTCAAGCTGGTTTCTCTCTTCTCCTGCACACAGATGTGAGCTCAATTTACGGGAAGCGAAACGAGTACGAACAGACAAGCGGGCAGAGGTCAAAGTTGGAGTCTTTTGATTCGGAAACTGTTGTTTAATTCCGTTAAATTGGAGTACACATGATTCTTGTAGAAATATTGAGGCATACTTATCTTAACATGTTGACTTCATTTGGGATAAGCAAAGCAATGCAGAAGCTGAAAATGTACCTATTACTAGTCTTCTGAGAAGATCCTTGACAGCGTCTCTCTCTTCAGTGACTTCATCTACCTCTCTGGCATCATCATTGCCTCTCCAATTTGGAATCTCACTCCTCCCTGAAATTCATAATCCTGGTTAGGAGTCATCTTTCGATGATCAATTGCACAACATGATAGCCGACAGCGAAAAGAGAAGCACAAGTGAAGCCGAACTGGAGAAACCGAGATTACATGAAAGAAATGGCGAGTCCTTCAATGCGAGAAGGGCAATACAGAGAGAAACCACAATGAGCAAACAAGCCATTGATGCTGCTCCGAGCACCAGGCGCTTCGACTCCTTCCCCATAATCTGTCGAACCAAAACACATAGCCGAGTCTGCGGATTTTTACAGATGAGACCCTGAAATGAGCAGTTCATTGGGGTCAAGGGGTCTCATCTTTTCCTAAAGATTCTTGCACGTCTTCCTCTGCAACAAGGCAGTTTTGTAAGACTTCCTGGGGATGATAGAGAAACTTAGCTGGAGTATCTTACTTTATTCATCGAGCAAGTCTCACGAGCAGGAAAGAGGAGATTAATTTAATAATCTTAATTAACGGTGCCGAGCAAGCTTTTGTTTGCTTTCTTGTGCACGATTCGTGGCTTGAGTAGACAGGCATTAGCACCAAATCGTCAAGACCTTTAATACAACCAGTCAAATCATTAATTTACAAAGAAAATTTTGTTAATTTATATCAATCTACGAGTTGA